GTTCTTTATAGTTCATGGGTTTATGAAATTTAGAAATCTGCATCTTCTTCAATCCTGATTCCTTGTGTAATAGTTCGTGATTTATTGGATTGTTTCCTAATGCTATTTCCTTTCCATCTTTGTCTTGGATCAGTTATCTACTTATCATTTAATTTGTTCATTGCCGTGTACTCCTTCAAAATTGAGTATAGAATGTAGAATAGCACCAAAGTGAATGATATGGTGGTAGTATTTAGTTGAACGTCAACTGGTTTGGCATTCTGCATTCTCTTTTATTTTGCTCAATGTAAATGGATGATCTGGCCATCTGTTACAGACGGAAATAACAGTTTGCCGTATGAATTTATTCAATATAGAAAATCATATGAGACTTGAATATCATGGTAATCGTGATTTTAATTAGCCTATCCAGGGACATGGACTCTGAGATGGCCGCTCATGTATATTTTGTTATAAATTCTCTTTTGTAATAACATGTTCATCTGCTAAAGTTTTTAGCTGAAGACATTAACTCGTAAGCAATTGGGAATTACAACCCTCAATTGCTCTCTATCAACTGATTGAGAAAAAGAACGGTACCAACGTTTATTCAATAGAATTTCTAGATAGGATTATTTAGATTTTGACATGTTTATGCTGGTGTAATGCTTATTAGTAGTTGATATTGCATAACTCTTTATGGAATTTCTTCTAGTTTGTATTGAAGTCTTACAGAGTATCGTCAACAGGCTGTCTTATTCTCAGACTTTCCCTGGTAATAGGACCATGGGTCTCATTTTTGTTCATGCATTTGATTCACCCCTATGACACTAGGAAACTTTGTCTCTGAAGTTAGAAGGCATAATTGGAATTTCTTTTTCAAGTTTTTGGTTACGTTTAGCTGTTGTTCATGGGTTTTGTTATTTTACAGAGAGACATTTGTAAAATAGCAACTGATTCCTTTCTGTTGATTATAGAAGTGAGACATTCTGGAAACTGCCTTAGCATTGATATTCAATCTAACGTTGGGCCTTGAGATTACAGGAGGAGGATTAGAGTTCACAAAGTAAATGGTTGTTGATGCTGTAGAAATTTTCAAGGGTTATGCTTACTTCATACTGCAAATACTCTGTTGTATGAGATGGAAAGAACTAGGTTTCGTAGGTATTCTAAATATCTCTGAAGTTAACCATTAGAGAGATCCTACATCGGATGGAGAGGAGAACAAAACATTATTTATAAAGGTGTGGAAACCTCTCTTTAACATACTCGTTTTAAAATCTTGAAGAGAAACTCATATGGAAAAATTCAAAGTGGACAATATCTAGTAGTAGGGAAATTGGATTGTTAGAAATGGTATTAGAGTCAGGTACCGGGCGGTGTACCAGCGAAGACGTTGGGGCCGCCAAGAGGATGGATTGTGAAATCCCATATTGGAGAGGCGAATGAAACATTCCTTATAAGAGCAACCTCTTCCTAACATACTCATTTTAAAATCTTGAAAGGAAGTCCACAAGGGAAAATTCAAAGAGGACAATATCGGGTAGCGATAGGTTTGGGCTTGAATTGTTACATCTAACGACTTGACTTGTACTTTAGGTTGCAAGTTTAAATCGTGAAAAGAAGATCAAAGTAGACCAATTATATCATAATTGAAATTGCATGCAATTAATTTTAAGGGAAAGAATAAGAAGAAATAAAGGATTAGAGTTATATATGTAAAAGATGTTATGGTGTGTCTCTCATGTGATTAATTACATTGCAGTTAGCCCCAAACATGAAAACATGGAAGATAATGGATTTTGCTTTTCAATTTGGTTTATTTTATTTTATTTTATTTTTATTTGGGGGATAAATAAATTTATAAACTTGCTTTGGTTACCCTTTCCCTCTCACCTTATTTTTAAAGCGACAACTACTTCTTTGATAGATACCCATTTTTAGCTCTCTCTCTCTCTCTCTCTCTCTCACACACACACACAGTTCTCTCTACCTCTCTCTCTCTCTCTTTCTGAGGTTTCTCTCTCCTCTCTCCTCTCTCCTCTCTGTCTCTGTCTCTCTCTCTCTCTCTCTCTCTCTCTCTCCAGAAGGGCAAAACCCTAAAGAGACGTTTACACCCACCCAAGTAAGTTCTCTCTCTCCCTGACCCCTTCTTTCTCTCTCTTTTTCTCTCTCCTTCTCTCTTTGTTTCTCTCTCTCTCGAGTTTGAATATATGGGTCCTTCTTGTACTATTAGGCCTGTTATCTGCAACCCCATATAAATATGCATTTGCTTCTTCTTTTGTTTTTGTGATTTCCTGATTTTCTGCTGCAATTTTCCTCAGATCTGTGGTTTTTCGGATTTCGGTGTTTTGGAAACCCTAGTTTTTTGTGCGTTCTGCATGATGGGTGTCTGATTTCTCAAGTTTTGTTCTCTTTGGGGGGGTTTTGACTTTTGTGAATCTCCGTTTGGGCTTCTATTTGCTTGCAATGTTGTAAATGAGAACCAGTTTTGATTTTGTGGGCCGCGGAAATGAGATCCTTGCCCTAATTTTCTCGATTGGATGTTTCTTCTTTTGTCTTCTTTGTTGAATTGAATGTTGGATCTGGAATTCTGTTTTACTACGGAATATTTAGAAGGTCGATCTATAAAATTAGTGTCTAAATCGTTTGATAATAAATTTTCAATTTCGGAGCTGCTCCTCCTTAATTGATCCTATTAATTGTCTTGTTATTTTTCCCTTTTGGATCTTTTGTTGTTTGATTTGTTTTCATTTGCGAGCCATTATGATGTGGTTGAACAATCGCCATCCAAGTACTGCTATTGGGAAGCTTCAAAACCTAAGAACTTTTCTCTCATTGTTGTTATGTTTGATATGTAGTTCTCATGGATGATGATGCGTTGAACATGCGCAATTGGGGCTATTATGAGCCGTCCTTTAAAGGCCATCTTGGCCTGCAGCTCATGTCCCCAATTACTGAGCGGGACATGAAACATTTCTTACCTGGCCGTGATCCTTCTGTTATGGTGAATGCGAACGCAACGTTCCATCCTCGAGATTGCGTTGTCTCTGAAGCACCGGTCCATATGAACTATATTAGGGATAATTGGGGAGGTAACCCCAGAGATAGGTTTCTCAATATGTTACCTGCCAATCACAATTATCCTGTTCTTCCAGGAACTTCAGGAGCTCACTCCTTGCAGATCTTGCAGCCACCCTCTTCATCTAGGGATGAACTAGTAGCAAATAGAGTTGAAGAGCCTCCAGTTAAGAAGGAAGGTGGAAAAGCTAAGAAAAGACAGAGTAGTGAGACTGGCCCCAAAACTCCTAAAGCTAAAAAACCGAGGAAACTGAAAGATACTAGCACCGCCGTGCCTCGTGCAAAACCACCGAAGAAGAATATTGATCTTGTTATAAATGGTATTGATATGGACATTTCAGGTATTCCGATCCCGGTTTGCTCTTGCACTGGTTCTCCTCATCAATGTTATAGGTGGGGATGTGGTGGTTGGCAGTCTGCTTGTTGTACTACCAACATATCGACTTATCCTTTGCCCATGAGTGACAAAAGACGAGGTGCGAGGATAGCTGGGCGAAAAATGAGTCAGGGTGCGTTTAAGAAGGTACTCGAGAAACTAGCAGCTGATGGCTATAATTTTGCTAACCCGATCGATTTGAGGTCACACTGGGCACGACATGGTACTAATAAGTTTGTCACAATCAAGTAGACTAATTCTGTTGGTATTTTCAATCGTCTGCTTGAATTGTGTATATATCTGCACCCTTCTGCAGAGCTCTACCGGTAGTCTGTAGTTTCTTCATGAGTTTTATTAACATTTCAAAATTGTTTTCGACATTTGGACACTTCGGTTCTTTTATTTATTTTCCTCTTCAGCTTATGTGATACGTGTAAACAAAAGAATTTATCTGGATGAACTTTCATTTATTTGAGATTCCTTTTGGAAGTATTTCTCTTTCTTTGTTCCATGTTGAAGATTAGTGAAGGAAGGGAAGAAAGAACACAGGCAAACTGGAACAAGTTTATCTTCGGTTTTGCTTCAGGTCAGGGATTTGGTGTTCATGAATTTGTGCTCTGTTTTGCTTTAGATCCTCTGGAATTGCATCTTTAACACTGATTCTTTATCCAAGCTTATGAAATTGCTGAACAAGCTTTGAGTTATTAGGAATGGAAATTTGCCTTGCTTTTTCTTGATTTGGATATTTTATTGTTGGCTGCCACATATCCTCCAATGGAAGCAAAAGTTGAAGTTTTGCTTGTCCTATGTCTTTCTCCCAGACCAAGCAATCTCACATTATCATGAAGTTTGGTGTGGACTGGCCGTTAGATTAATAGAAAACTCAGTTATGTGGACTCTACTCAAAATTGATTTGCTATCTGCCTCGTAGTTGATATTGCGTTTTTTGGGTTTTTTCTTTCGGGCTTCCCCTCAAGGTTTCTTAAAATACATCTGATAGGGAGAAGTTTCCACTCTTATAAAAAATAGTTCGTTCTCCCGGACGTGGGATGAACATTTCTCTTCAAAGTTTTTAAAACGTGTTTGCTAGAGAGAAGTTTTTATACCTTTATATAGAATGTTTTGTTCTCCTCCCAACCGATGTGAGATTTTACAATCCACTCCCTTCTCGAGCCAATGTTCTTGCTTGCACTCGTTCTCTACAATCGATGTGAGATCAGATCTTACATCGATCGGAGAGAGGAATGAAACATTTTTTTATAGGAGTGGAAATCTCTCTCTAACTAAACTAAAGCATTTTAGAAACATCAAGGGAAGCCTGAAAATAAAAACCAAAAACCAAAACCCAGACTTGGCCATTACAAATTTTGCTAACATGAAAAAAAAACCAAAAAAACCAAATTTCGCAACTTGGCTTAGACATTTTCGAGTAGATCATCTGCGATGTTGCACCTGGTTCAATCTCCAGGTAAATGCCTTGTCAGGGTACGAGGGAGGGAGATTTACCATATTATAGTTAAAAGGAAACAAACAGTAAGATGAAAAGGATTACACTCAATACTCAGAAAAAAAAACACCTGGAATATGCATCATCTCCAAAAGATCAAGAATCTAAAATCGAATGGTTGCTTTAGTTTGAGAAACATAAATATATACAATACATAAAACACTAACAAAATCCACACAACATTGTGGTCGCACTCCCTACTATATCAAATCTTCCTATTTCAACATACAAGAAACCTTAGATGCATGGTTTCGAGCTACTTATCTGTTATTGTCACTACCTATTTTATACCATACACGCGTCGAGTTGCTAAAACACCATCTTTTACGTCTCCTCGACCTGTTAGTTGCATTCCCTCCTCCAAGTTGTCCTATTGAATCACAGTTGTAAACTAGTTTACAAATTGTTTCTTATTCACAAAGTATACGAATATCCCGTTTGTGACCGTTGTGCCTTCCCTGTAGATCACATACGAGCTCCTGGTTAGATAGATCACAATTGAAATAAAAAGAGTGCCATGGGAACCATTTTAGTTCGACCAGTTTTGGTTGATATCTAATCGAGTTCACCGTTCAGTTAGAAGTGAGTAAACATACCATGACGAGAGCATTAAGATTTAACTCTGGGGTGGAGAACCTGGCTCAGATCCATAAATGGAAGCGTATGACATTGTATCATCCTTAGATATGGCCACAAAATTCAATGGTGTAGTAGACAACCTCCTCATTTCTTTGAAGTATCCATTTTGGCGCCCGGAATAGGATCTAGGAGTGAGGAGCTCTGGGGCCGCTCCACCAACAGAGTTTCGACGAGGCATTGGCGTCATTGATCCATTCCCGTTCGCACGATATCCATTAGTCTTCCTAAAGCTGTTGCTCTTCCTAGGACTGGGTTTAGATCCATACATAGCTTCCTTTTCTGTTAGGAGGATATCTTGGAGTTTCTTTTGATCCTGGGAATGGAAGGTTTTTGTTTCTCTTCAGGAAACGGCAGTAAAGAGAATGGATTAAGCTCATAATTCAAAATAAGAACATAAATTAAAGTACCCTGTGTCTCTTTTTCTCCTCTTCTCTGTGTTGTCTACTTAACTTATAATCTTCAAGTATAGTCACCAATCTTGCCTGAAACAAGAACAACTAATAAGCTTCCCATTCTAAATGATGCAGATGATAAAAGGATGGGGAGGATAATCCTTACCCCATCATAAAGAAACATAGTCTTCTTTTCATCTTCCCAGGCCAGAGTTCTGTTTATCAGATTATCAACAATAGCTGAAAAGAAATAACACCATTAGCTATAGCTGCTATGCAAATTTTAACCTTTAGAAGTTTATATTTCATTGAAATAAACTTGAACAATCAGTGAAATCATTACTCTTCTTTAGTTCAACCATTGCTTTTAAGAACGTCGAGTTTGGCACTTATTGTTCGTTTCGTATGTTTTGCTGGTTAAATTTTGGAAATCTTTTGTAACAACCAAAACCCACCGCCAGTAGATATTTGTCCGTTTGGCCCATTACGTATTGCTGTCAGCCTCACGGTTTTAAAACATGTCTACCAGAGAGAGGATTCCACACCCTTACAAGGAATGCTTTGTTCCCCTCTCTGACCAATGTGAGATCTCACATCTTTTAATGAAACTTTCGTTTTGTGGGACATATCAATTTCACCATTCGTTCTCATTAACAAATCAACTTGATAAAGTTAAAACTTCCATATTTAGATTGATTAACCCAACTAAATATAAGGATAAAGGACGTTCCATTAATTGTTCATCCTGGTATGAAGAGAAACTTCTTCCTGAGAAAAATACCTGAGATTTTGCTAACAGTCACTCTCGCTCGTTCTGCACGTTTCAGATTAACGTGTGAACCTCTCCCTGCATTATAACGATTCTCGTCCTGCAATTTGAATGACAAGATGTTAGTACACTAAGGCAAACCGAACTAATCACATTGGACTCTATTAGCAAAACAAGAAGCGTTCGTAAACCTGCTAGCTATCCAAACATGCAGTTCATAACTTTTAAATGCGAACACGATATAAAATTGCAGGCTAAGCCAAAAATACTCAGCTTACTTGATTATACTCTTCAAGCCAATTTTCTTCCTCACATGCTGACAGCCAGCGGTCTATTCGATCCATTATGTCTCTTCGGCTTGTGGCTTCTTCTTTTACTTTGACGATTTGCACTTCAATGTTTGCAAGGAGTTCAGAAGGATCTACGAGACCTATAAAACGGCAAAGCAAGAAGTCGATTTTGTATAACTAAGGAAGAGTAAGTTTGATGAAAGTTTGAATAATCTAGGACTTGATTACCTGAATCTATCAAAGCACTTGATTTCTCAGAAGCTGTGCTAGGATCAGCTTCAATGTGAGTCATTCTACAAATCTCCTCCAACTCAGACCTTCGCTTCATTACGAGCTGTTTCATCCGACCCGCTTTTAGTTTAGTTAACCTCTCCACTTCTGCTGATGCCTGGAAACATCAACCAAAATGGAACTTGAGCGTTTTTCATATCGAGGGCCGACATGAAAATCATATTGACAATGCTCCAAACCTGTTCAATCGTCTCTGTGGAGAGAAGACCTGGTTCTGTGACTTCTGTTTCGGGTACACGTACAATGGAAGTTATCCGGGAAAATTTACTCTTTTCATCATGTGAGGAGTCCATCAAGTTCCAAAGTTCAAATAGTGATGTTAATATGTCCTTCAACTGCAGGTTAAGGCAGGTTATAAAATTAGGACAAACGGAACGAAATCTCGAGCGATGATCTGAATGAGCTTACCTTCTGAATTCGAGTTTTCCTTTCTGCTTTCAATGTAAGAATAGTGTGTTCTAGGCCTTCCAATGTGCTATTGCTGATATTTGTAGCTTGTTCCACGCTTGTTCTTTCTAAGCTCGGATGCACATCACTTACAGTCTGGCCAAAATCCACGCCAAGAACGCCACAGAGAGAATGAACCTCACTAACATGTTCCAAAACCTTATGAAGTCGATCAGACTGCAAAGAATTTCTTGTTAATTATCATTTTAACGTGAAATAAATCGCTTCACATGATATCCTTAAGTTACTATTCTCGAACCTTCTCCTTTTGCAGGGTGCGAAGATGAGTTTGATACTCATTAAGCTTTCTCAAAGACAGGTCTGTTTCTTCCAAGGTTAAAGTATTGATGATCGTGTGGTCGTTAAGATGGTTGCTATATCCTGAAATCTCGACACTGATCTTCTCGATTTGGGCTTTTATATCTGCAAATTGTTTCAAACGCTCTTCTTTCTTTGTCTTCAACTCTTCTACTAAGGGAGTGACAGAAGCAAGCTTTTCCTTCAATGTTTTGGACCTCTTCTCAACCTGACTCTGCCACCACAGGAAACAAATTACAAACACAATCAACCAAAATGGTCATGGAACATAATTCAACTCTTGCCAATAAGTTAAGAACAATTGCAAGGACCCTCGAACTCGTTCTCGAACACTAGAAACTTTAATGTATCTTTACCGAAGAACTTAGTTCACCAAGAGCAGCCATCAATGTTGCAACCTCGGCCTCCTTTGACGCAACGGATTGATGGAGTCGTGCCTTGGCATTCACAGCTTCCTCGACCTTTCTCCGATACACTTCCAAGCATTCCCTCTCCAATTCCAGGAGCATACGGTCTTTGTCAGCTTCACTCTCGCCAATGTCATTCCATATTTGCTGAAATCATTAGAGGAGAGAGTCAGTGAACTTCTATCAGGTGAATTGTAAACATGAACACATGAAACTCCTCATCAGAAGAACCATAAAAGATACAGTGAAATTTCAGGACAAATCTAAACAAGAGAAAGAGAGAGCAACGGAGAAGGCTATCAATTCAACATAAACCCCAAAAAAGAGCTTCCAGAAGAGATTCATTACTCCTCAAATGTCCAAAAGCACAAAACTAGCCTGGGAATTATTAGCGGTAGCAGCTCTCATAGCCCCCAAAAGAACTCATCATGAGCCGCAAACCCATCATTGTAAAGAAAATTACAAACAAAACAAGAAAGAAGACAAAGAAAGTGATAAACCTGAAGTTCTCTGAGTAAAGCATTACAACTAGAGCTCGTGCGAACACTGGCAAAAGGACTACCAACAGCCAACATTTCTTTTCCTTTCAACAGATCCCAATTCCACAGAGCAAAAAATCCCCCAAATTCCTCAGGAACCCAGAAGGCGGCGGCTAAAGAATTTTGATAAAGAAAAAAGAAAAAAACCCCCCGACAAACAGAGCTCAAACCCAGAAAGAAACCAGCATGGCAAGTGGGTTTTGATTGTCGAATGAACTCATGAAGACAAGACACATTTCGAACCAACTCTGTTCCTCCAGATCTGAAAACCCAAAAGCTATTTTTCCAAAATTTCCTTCTCTTTTCAGAAACCCCTTTCTTTCCAGCTAGAAACTGAAGAACATCTCAAAGAAAACAGGGGAAATCGGTAAAAAGTCTCAGCGCTAAGAAATCATCGCATATTATTAGAAAAATATATATATATATATACCTATGTAGAAGTAACTGGAAGGGAAACCTACCGCTAAAACAAAATAGAGAGCTCTTTTGAAAATAAAGAGAGAATATAAAAGGAAGAAGAACAAGATGAAGCAAAACAGTGAATATTTTGAGAAAAAAAAATTATAAAAGTTACTTTTTTTTTTTTTTTTGGAATTTGGAGGTTATGCTAAAATGCGCTAACGTGGCAGTTAACGCTAACAGAATTTATGCCCACGTTAGCAGAATTGTATTTTCTATATTTCTATAGAATTTGGGGTTTCGGGTGAGTCAGAGAGCACTTGAAATTAAAAAATTAAAAAAAATTAATTTTATAATTAAAAAATAAACTCAATTTTTCGCTTGTTTTTTAATACAATAAATAATGGAGATTCAACCTCCACTTTCAATCTAGCGCGTGAGTTATACTGTCAAATAATAAATGCGAGTGTGTTTCAAATATTGAATTGGCGCGTGGGTTTGGATGACTTAAGTAGAACAGTTCATATTTAGTCATGTTGCTATTTTGATTTTGACTCTTTTTTTTTTTTTTTTTTTTTCTCCCTGCAATGTTTTAGAAATTAGATAAATACCTTTCTTGGAGATTTTAATTTTTTTTAATTATTTCGAGTCAATTTTTAATCAAATTTATCGAAATTAATTTCAATCCATTGATTTTCAGTTTAATTTAGTTTCAAAAGATTTAATTATAAGATGAGAAATGATTAATTTGGCAAAGACTAAAAAAAACCATCAATTAATTAATAAATTAAAGAAATATGTCATTAATTTCAAAAGATTTAATTAATTATACGTTAAGGAATGATTAATTTGGCAAAGACTAAAAAAAGCTTTAGTTAATTAATAAATTAAAGAAATATGACATTATCTAAATTAGAGTGAAAGCTTAACCTATTTGCTAATAATGCAATTAAATTCCAAATGAAAGGTGTTTAATAATGTCACATCAACCATGCTTTAATATATTTTTATCCAAATTTCTATAATTAATTTAATTATTATGGTTTGATATTACCTTGGTGGTCAACATTACGATTTTAAGACACGTTTATTAGGGAAAAATTTCCGCACTGTTATAAGAACGAAAGCCCAATGTCTTTGTCATCTGCTTCATGATTCTAAAATGTGTATGTTAAGGAGATGTTTCCACACCTTTATAAGAAATGTTTTGTTTCTGTTTCAATCGATGTGAGTACAGTGTCCTCGTTGTCTGCCATATGATTTTAAAACGCTATCTGTTAAGAGATTTTCACACATTTATGAGAAATGTTTGGTTTCCTATTCATATCTTAGAAAATGACACATAAGAGAGAGCATGGAAAAGGTTAAATACAACTATTTGTGAGTTGATTCAAAACCCTAAAAACTTTTAATTTAACATTTCAAACAAAAATAAATAACACTAAAAAAGAAACAATAATTACTCTCAAACTTTACAAAAAAAAAAAAAAAAAAAAAAAAAAAAAAGTTTTGAGATTGTAATTGATGGGTTAATGAGAGACAAAGTTATAATGTTGCACATGGGATTGATATTAAAATTGAACAAAAAAAAAAAGAACCCAAAGTTTCCCTTTCCCTAAAACAAGCTTATTTAATTATGTAAAAGTGAAGAGTGGGCCACAAATGCATATAAATTAGGCAACAGTTCGGATTTCAATGATGTCTTATCGAACTATATTTCATTCTATTCATTATCGTCTCAAAAAAACCAAATTTTCTAACGAAAAAAACTTTTCTTGATTATTTTTCGTTAAAGTTCAACTCGAAATTATTATGAAAAATTCTCATATTTCTCTCCAAATATTAAGCTAATCTTTGCATTTAAAGAAAATTTTTATATTTGTGAAATTTATGCATTAATAAAGATGTTCATGAATTGGACGTTTTTTAGACTTACCTAATCGTTGAAAACAAAAATTTATCTTAAAAAACAACTCTTATTAAAGAATGGACCCAAAGGAGCTATAACTTTTTTGGGTTAGGCAATTTGGGTGGTTAGATAGTTTATTCAAATTTTTGTTTTTTCTCCTAAAGAAAGAAGGTAATAAAACATCTATTTATTTATTTTTTAACCTTCAATTAAGATTTATAACTCAATTTGCTTCGGTTGGTTCAGTTCAACCTAATCTAATTTAGGGAAACCAAGGAATCAAATCAATTTATAAAATTTTCATTTATTAAAACTTAACCTAAATAAATTCACATGGCAACGTAAACTATACGAATTAGATTGAATTTTTTAGGTACACATGAATGATTTTAAAATCAAATTTTAAGATAGGGTGTAATCTAAATTGTTTTGAAAAATGATATTAAAAAACTTAGAATAAGGCGTTTAAAGATACTCATTTCTTCCCATTGGATTCTTATGATATCATTTTCCAACATATATCTATAAGACATATATAAGTTATTAAAAGAAAAGAAGAAAAAAAGTTGGCTAAAAACATGCAATGATGGAGCAAAATGAAATAATTAATTGGTTGGAGAATTGTGAGAGGTAACATTTAATAAATTTATGTGTTGGCCCCTCCCCCCACCCTTCACAACTTGGTTCTATATTTCCTTGTACAGATGTGACACTTCAACGTACATATTTTCAAACTTAAATTTATACCCAATGGAATATTAAATAAATAAATAAATAAAAATTAAAGAAAATATATGATAATGAATGATATAGTAACAAGTATTTGTTGTGAGATCTCACGATAGTTAGGGAGAGAGAACAATAGGTAACGCACTAAAATGAACAATATTTACTCCTGTATACTTGGTTGTTACACTTATCTACAAATTAATGCACATATAAATTAAATTCTTATTGGGTATCCAAGAATTGAGTTGTAGGTTGTTTTTTTTTTTTTTTTAATTATTTGATATTTTTAAAAATATATTAGAGTAAAATTATTGGATCTTATAAAAAATATGGTAGAGTTGGATTGAATTAATAAAAAAAAAAAACAAAAAAATGTCAATCGAGTAATTCAAATGGCAATTAATGAAGAGCCCATATTTCCCTTCTATGGTTTCTTTCTCTCTCAAACCGACGTGAGATTTCATAATTCACTCTATTTAGGGTCTAATATCTTTGCTTGTACTTGTTTCTCTCTTCAATCCATATGCGATCTCACAATCCAACCCTTTTGAAACCGTTGATATTTTATAGGAACCGACATATATTTAAATGATTTGAATTTATTTATGGATTTGTATTAATTTTGAATAGATATATATAAAAAAAAGTTAGTTAAAATGGTGCTGGAATAAGTGGGTATATGAACCAAATCGACGAGGCAAGTAAAGAATAATTGATGATTAAAAAAGCTTGATTATGAAGATGGAAGGAAATTTAAGATTGGTGGATGAGAAGTCAATCATATTTAATTAAGGTTTGATAGATAGAGATGATGACTGCTTAATTGGCATGAAAATGATTAATACTCTTTTTGTTTCATCTAAACCACACAAATTGAATGCATGCATTTATAATTATGATCATGACCAAAGTCGATATCAAACCAATCTATGTAAGTTTATGTTCATGAAGTTGATATCGAAATCCACCCGTTGATCAAAATAAAATCAATTTAAATATGTTCTTTTGTTTGAAAATTGTATAAACTCAAACTAAAGTGATAGGTTAGTTACATCAACTCAAATGATTTGATTTAGTCTAACTTAGATAACTAAAATGGACAACTGCAGAATTAAAGACCAAATGAACCTTGGAACTAAATATGATGACTTGAAACACACAAAATTCAATCCAGCTTGAGATTAGGGATGGCCAACCCTTATATAGGACACATGCCCACCGTTCTCTCCATTGGAGTGATTCTAATCAAATTCAATCCAGTTTTCTTTTAAACAAATCAGGAAAGAAATCAACAAAAATCATACTGATATGCACATTTTTCATGTTTTTAAGGTCACATTCTAAATTCTAAACAATTTTTTTTTTGTCGTTGTGTCACGTGAAGATCAAGTATATTATTGTGATCATGAAGTCAAGTATGTTTTTACCAAGATTTGCATGGATGAAAAAAAAAAACAAATGGAAACATAAGCAAATAGGATTTAAATTGAAGCCAGGTGTCAAAAGATAAATCAAAGTCAGCTAACACATAAGGTGACAAATCCAACTACTAAACTTTATGTGGATGTGTATGAAAACTAATTAAATTATTAGGGTTGTTTGGGTATGAAATATAATATTAATTGGCCGACACATTTTGAAGATTATACCAAAACTGGTTTGGTTTAGACGTAATAATACATTCAAAGGCATTGTATTCCTGTCAGTTTGGTCACATACAGTTTGACCATATCCGTATATAATATTCACCAACTCAATCACCCACCGTATTATATCAAACAGTACATCCCCATAATTAAACAATATAATAACTAGGACAAGCAAAAATAAATTAAGACACCTAAATATTATTTGATTTGGATTTGATATTTAATTGTTTCAGACATTTTTTTACGACATCACTATATTATCTAGTACGATTAACTTTGATGTTCCCATAATTGAGTTATAAAAAAAAAAGGTGTCCCTTACTGGTGTTGTCACACTTGCACTAAATACT